ATAGATATAGATATAGATATAGATATAGATATAGATATAGATATAGATATAGATATAGATATAGATATAGATATAGATATAGATATAGATATAGATATAGATATAGATATAGATATAGATATAGATATAGATATAGATATAGATATAGATATAGATATAGATATAGATATAGATATGATAGATGTAGATATAGATATAGATATAGATATAGATATAGATATAGATATAGATATAGATATAGATATAGATATAGATATAGATATAGATATAGATATAGATATAGATATAGATATAGATATAGATATAGATATAGATATAGATATAGATATAGATATAGATATAGATATAGATAGCAAGCGCCTGACATCTACCGATTCATCAACCACCTCACCGAATCAAAACAAATTAGGGAAAGGAGACGATTTGATTCTATCACGGTCTCTTCAAAATTCAACAATTCAGGCCGATATTTGAAGATTGCTAAGGACAAGGGGAGTTTCATACTAATTCCCATGGGTCCAAAAAATTCCAATTTAAAATATTTCTTGGCAGTATTTTCCAATTTTATTGGACTACCGAATTTAGTGCAGAAGACGCCAATTTTATTAAACCAATCTCTTTGTTCTCTAAATGTTCTTGAACCACAAACACTGAATGTTGTTGTTGAAAAAGAAGCTGAGAAAATCCCACTTTTTGAAAAAGAAGAACAAATTGAGCATAGGGAATCACCATTGATTGGGGAGGAATTGTTCAAATTTTCAAAAAGAGAATGGATCCCGCCTGGGGTTGAAGTAATAACAAGGAAGAAATCCCGGCCTTACTGCAAAAGGCTGAGAAAGAAAGATGAAACAAGGATGTTCACGATCCCACATAAAAAATTAAAAAAAAACGTCGTTCCACGACATTAAATAAGGTGTTTCTTGGGAGGCAACCCAAGTTTGTATTTTGTTTATTTTCATTTATTTTTGTGTGTGTGAGAAAACCTTTTCAAAAACAATGGTGTCTGGGCTGATACCCGGCCGGGTATCTCAACAACTCGGTCGGGTCCCCTCACAAAAACACAGAATACCCGGGCAACACACCCCCGGGTGAAAACGAAAAACAAAAAAAGGGGGCATAAGACCCGACCGGGTAACTCCAAAATCCGACCGGGTTTGTGCATATTTTGCACATCAAAAGAGAATTTGCACATCATTTTGGCCTCCCTTTGTTTGATGAAACTCGTAATTATGACACTCTTGTGGGGTATGAGTTATGGAAGAGGATGACAGGACAAGGTGTGGTGGACCTTTCTAAGCTGAGTGTGAATTGTGTGCAACATCCGGTCTTCCGAAGTTTCTTGAAATTCTGTTCAAATTGTTTCCTCGGAAGACCGAATAATCATCACACAAAAATTTGGGATGTGTGTGTTCTGGCACAAGCTATTTTACCTGGACCAGTTCCAGTTGACGTTGCCTCCATCTTATGGACTCATTTCTAAAATGTGGCAACGTCATCGGGACAAATTGTGATAGGGGGCCTAATCACACATCTACCCACCTTATATGGTTTTGTAGACCCAGGTCCCATTACCCCCAAACAGCTCATCTGCACGTCATGGCTTATTCAAAAGACCAAGGACTTGGCCCTCTCTCACATGACACCCACAGGGGCACCTACCTATAAATGGCTCATCATTCCACGAAATGACGTATTTATCCACATACCATCCCCTGACATTCCCCTAGATATCGTGGGTCACGAAATCAGTGATGGTCATCACTATTGTCTCCCCGGGGCAATCCCGCCACACTATGCACAAGATGAGCCCGAGCAAGAACATGTCGAAGAAGACCCGCCCATCATACCCGACCCAACAACAACCTACCAATACTCACCATTCGAGCAACAGATGCTCGATAACATGAACATGATCAACAACAACTACATCGTACTTCAGGAGCGAGTTGATGAGTATAGAACTGAGCAGAGGCAGAGCTTTGAGAGGATGGAGGAGCAACGGCGAGAAGACTGGCGGAAATATGAAGAGGACCAGCGCAGACATAAAGAGGACCAACGGCGAACCTTTGGTCGGATATACTCTTATGTGGCACACCAGGGTTCCTTTGCCTCTATGACCACTCCCCCTCCCGCACCCTCATGGTACGATCCCACTCAGTGGGGTTACTTTGGAGGATCGAGTTCCGGTGGCGGAGGCGGCTATGGCGGTAGTACAAACATGGACGAGGATGAGCATCCATACAGAGGGGGGCTTTCATGATAGCTACTATGGACATGGAGGGAACTTTGATGGAGGTGATGCAGGCGGGCACTAGGGACAGTGTGAGGTACTAAGTGTGGGGGTGTTGAGATTGTTCTGGTATGCTCACAATCCTACTCTTTTCATTTGTATTTCCTAAAAACAGCTTGTTAAGTTGAAAACCCACAAAGGGCAGCTTAAGCAAAAATAAGAGTGAGTTTGTGAGATTCATTGAAGAAAAATGTGGGAAGTTGGGTTGAAAACCCGAAAGGGCACCTAGGCAAAATGAGAGAATGAGAGAAAGTATTTTTTTTTTATTTTGCAGGATCCTAAAGGTGATTACTAGAGAGAGTTCATTGGATGAGGAAATTGGAATTGAAGACCCCTTGATGTATTCTTTTTATGTTGGGGATACTTTGTGATTATTTTGCTTCTAAAAACACTTTGTGATGGTTGTGTTGATGATCTTATCATTTAAGGACTTCTTGGACGGAATTTGGTTTACTCGAGATGAGTAAAGGTTTAAGTGTGGGGTGTTTGATGCACACTAATTAGTAGTGCATGATTGTATATTTTTATATTTGATTTATGTGGATTATTTACCATTTTACTTAGTTTGTAAACATTTGTGTGATTTTAGTTGTAATTTTGTTTTAGTCTTTATTTGTAGTTGTAAAGTTTAGTTAGGATTTGTGGTGTTGGAAAGGAAGACTTTGAAGTGAAGAAAAAGAAGATTTGGCTGCCCAGGAGCAAATACCCGACCGGGTATAACACTTGACTCGGTCGGGTAAGAATTGAAAAACGAAAATGCAAAGAAATTGCATGGCCCGGTCGGGCCCACTACCTCACCCGGTCGGGTGAGAAGTGACCGGGGACAATCCGGCGTGCGAAGATCACCCGAACGTGGAGAATATCTGATTTTTACCGGACCCGGTGGGGTATGCACTTGACCCGGTCGGGTACCCGGCCCAAGGTGTTGAAAAAAAATATAAATAGCACATTTTTCCTTCACTTTTAATCATTCTTTCTTCCATACTCTTAAGCTCAGTTTAGAATAGCATTTCTTTATATTTTTCTAGCTATGTTTAGTCTCCAAATGATGAGCTAAACTTCCATTTCTTGGTGTTGCTTTTGAAGTTTGTTGATTATTAAAGTTGTGAGTTATTTTCTTAACTTCTTCCCTTGAATATTAATTATTAGTTCTTTTCTTAATACTATCTCTATATTAATGTTGGGGAGTGTTGCTAAGATGAGAATTAGTTAACATCTTGAAATTAGTTAGAGTAGTATTTTCTTCTTCTATATTAATATTGGGAAGTGTTGCTAAGATGACAATTAGTTAACATCTTGATACTTCCTCCGTCCCCCTGTTATTGTCCCATTTCCTATTCACTTGGTCAACACAAATCACTCTTAATCTCTTACTTTATGTATCAAATTTTTATCAAATTTGATTCTGGTTTTTGCAACTTTGTAAATCTTTTAATGTAATTTCTGAATATTTAATTTTCTTTTTCTAAAAATAATTTGAGTGCGGACAGGGATCTGTTTTCTTTATCGTCGGTCAAGCATCTTAAACCGCAATGGGACAATAACAGGAGAACGGAGGGAGTATTAATTATAGTAGGAGTCATCTCCTTTAATAATATTCTTCCTTGAATATTAATTAATTCCTATCCATATTCCATATTAATATTTTGAACATTACTTAAAGGATCAATTAGTTTTGTTTCATATATTAATTATTACTAGAAGCGATCAACGAACCGATGGTTAATCGTTGATGGTTTCACAAGTAAATAACTTCGGTTTATTAATGCACGGTCGTGGTTGATAAACTTAAGAGAGATTAATTTTGTTTGTTTGATAACCTCAATTGATTTCATCAAGGAGTTAAGAGATTAAATGCTACTATCAAGTCGGTATATGGTGGTGTTCTATACTTGACTAATAGTAAAGGTTATTAATGAACGATCGTTGTTAATAATTACCCTCGATGAATTGGATATACTCCTCGATTGAGTATTCGAAAGAGAATAAGTTATAAATGTAACAATGATCGACTAAAATATACTCCATCCGTCCCTTAAAGGTTTGTCATGTTTGACCGACATGTAGAATAATAAAGTAAAAACTGTGTGATAGAAATTTGTGCAGAGGAGAGAGAAATAACAGGAGCCACAAATTGATTGATTAAAAGGGAAAGTGGCAAAGTTTTTGGGACAACCAAAAAAAGGAAAGTTGGCAAAGTTATAAGAGACGGAGGGAGTATCAACAAGTGGAAAGTAGTAATGCAAAGTACTTTTTGTCTTTGAATTAAATCTCATATAAGGCGTTCATCTTAATTTTTAATTAAATTAAGTCATTAAACACCAAAACCCCCCTTTTTATTTACTAAGTTCATAAAAAGAGAATTCTTCATTTCCCTATGGATACGAACTCTAATTCACCTATATTACGTATTAGTGGTAGTATTGAATTTATTTTGACGCACCGTGACAAAGTGCACGTCAGTAACAAACTAAATCAGCTTAATTGAAAAAAAAAACTAAATCAGCTAAGCCACAATCTTATTGACGTATTGAAAAAGAAACATCATGTTATTGAGTTCAGGAAAGTCTGCACTCCTGAACTCGGCACTCTTCTAAGCATTTTTTACTTTGTACCCTTTTGGAAGGTTATTTGTTTGTAGTCGTGCAGCATGTGTCGTCGTTTTGAAAATACTACCACTCAGCATGTGCATTAACAAAGCAAACAATCGGTCAAAACAACTAAAGATTAGCAAATGCAAACACTCACTCGTAGTAAAAACCAGATGTTTATAAACATACTACGAGTATTATATTGAATGGGTGTGGTGACTGGTGACTGGTGACTCCTCCGATCAAGTAGTGAATCCAGATACACTGCGCTTGAAAATTACAAGGGCTTGGCGTGATAACTACTACATACTCCCTACTGCTATGGCTTTTAAAGAGAACATAAATTAAGCAAACACTTGGACTGACACATAGCGAAAGCAGCAAAGAAATGATAAAGAAAGCAGTGTAAATCAGAAGTCCTCGTCCAACTTGAGAACATGAGTGTCACCACCGTCACTGTTCAAGCTAGACATGACAGAGGCCTTCTGATATTCTCCAACCCGCTTCTCGAAGAAATTGGTCTTCCCCTGCAAGCTAATCAGCTCCATCCAATCAAAGGGATTTTGGGCATTGTACAGTTTACTGCATCCTAGGGCACCCAGCAATCTATCCGCCACGAACTCTATGTACTGGCTCATCAGATCTCCATTCATGCCCACAAGAGCGCATGGAAGGGCGTCACACACGAATTCCCTCTCGATCTCAACTGCATCCCCCACAATTGCCTTCACTCTCTCCTCACTCAGTTTCCTCTTCAATAAGCCATAGAGCAAGCAGGCAAAGTCGCAGTGCAAACCCTCGTCTCGAGAGATCAACTCGTTTGAGAAGGACAAGCCAGGCATCAAGCCGCGCTTTTTCAGCCAGAAGATGGAGCAGAAGCTCCCAGAGAAGAAGATTCCTTCCACACAGGCAAATGCCAGCAGCCGCTCGGCGAAGGATTCAGAGCCGTCGATCCATCGTAATGCCCACTTAGCCTTCTTCTCCACACACGGGATGGTGTCAATGGCGTGGAACAGCCTGTCCTTCTCTGCGGAGTCCTTGATATAAGTCTCCAGGAGGAGGCTATACATCTCGGAGTGGATATTCTCGATGGCAATCTGGAAGCCGTAGAAAGCCCGCGCCTCCGACACCTGGACTTCCTTCATGAAGCGACCGGCGAGATTCTCGAGAACGATGCCATCGGAGGCGGCGAAAAAGGCGAGGACGTGCTTGACAAAGTGCTGCTCGTCGGCGGTGAGGGCTTCCCACTGGCGTAGATCCTGCGAGAGATCGACCTCCTCGGCGGTCCAAAAAGACGCCATGGCTTTCTTGTACATCTCCCAAATTTGGGGGTACTGGATGGGGAACATACAGAATCGATCAGGATTTGGGGCGAGAAGGGGCTCTTCGGGAATCGAAGGCATTTTTGAGATTGCTAGGGTTTGGCGGAAGAAGAAGATGAAGGAAATGGGATGGATTGAGAAGAGACTGGTTGGGTGGTTGGTTGGTTATATACTCCCCCGACCCGAGGAGCTTTTTATTTTGGTTTGGCGCACAGCCAGCCAGAGAGCGGGGAATTTGAAATTTCGGTGACTTGCGGGAGAATGGACTCAATTTTCTTTAAATATTTGGAGATTTATTTAATTATTAAATAAATAAATTACTCACTCCTACTTACCGCTCTAATGATGTTTTTACTTGGACTGTAATTCCTCTCAGATCAGATCAGACCAGACTTAGATAGTTATAAAAATACAAAAAAAAACAGATCAGACCAGACTTAGATAGTTATAAAAATACAAAAAAAAACAGACCAGACCAACAAATTACAGTTCAAGTAAAAACATTCTAACATACTACTACTAGTACTAATCTCCCTCCCTACCCGTACCTTTACCGGTTGAATCATTAAAACCTGCACTTTACTTTTTTTAAGCAGTGTCTTTAAATAAAATAAAATATTTCCTCCGTATTTAAAAGATCAATAAACATTAGATCTTGACACAATATTTAAGGAGAAAATAGTATCGTTAATAAATAATGTTAAAAAGATAGGAGGGCAGGTGAAACAATAGGAAAGAGAAATTAAAAGTAGAAAAAGTAAAGATAACTGAATATTTTTAAATGAAAAACTTACCAAAAGGAAAAAGGTAGCAAACTTTTAAATACATCCCAAATAAGAGATTGTAGCAAACTTTTAAATATTGAGGGACTAACAAGTATACATGTTATACTCTCCGTTCTCTAACAATAGTTCTCTTAGATTTTTCACATTTTTAAGAAAAAAAAATAGTAAAGTCAATATAAAGGGTATGGGTAAATGAAAAAAGTGGCAAAGAGAGTATATTAAAAAAGAAAAGTAATAAAAAAGTACAAAAGATAAAGTAATTTGTAAAGAGCAGAAAATGTAAGGATAATAAAAGTGAAGATATAAAAGTATTTTAATAGGAACATTCTTTCTTGTACTAATATGGTCATGCATAAAATTTTATATACTCAAAAATGAATCACATATTAGCAATGAAATTAATAAAAAATTAAATAAATCAAAACCTATGAAATATTAGGTCCTAGATTGATAATCTTTCATCATTCGGGTCATATACCAATACAATTCATCTTTTAGATCCTAGATTGATAATTTGTGTATCTTTCGGGACTCGTATCGATAAAATTCCTTTTTCGTATTTCCACTAGACATAGTTCATGTGTTTATTTGTACTTTTGATGTATTATAAAATATATTTCATTGATTGAAAGAGACAAAAAATGCAAATCATGTGTATAAAACAATGAAGGAAAAAGAATCAAATACACCCTTGTACAATTGCAAATCGATCACTTAAACCAATGTACAATAAAAAGCACCATACAAGTCCATCTACTTTGAAAAACAATCAATTGAGTCAAAACACCCAAAAGTAACCTTCAATAGCAGGTCATCCTCACTTTATCTCTCATATTATTTGTTTAAGCTAAACTACGTAAAATATGATTTGAACGTTCGGAAACGACAAATCAAATGGTGTTCATCATGCAAAGATCAGAGAATAAATGATGGATCAAGAAAAGAATGATTCAACGGTGAACATTTCGTAAATTTAGATGTATTTCAGTAGGAAAGTCGATAGTAAAATGTGTCTTTTACATCAATGATCCGTATCATTTTAAATAGCTAAATCGTCCGGTCGTTTCGTCGGCTCTAACGGGTCAGGCGGAAAATCAGGCCTCCTTATAACTGCCAACGACTTATTCTACGTCTCATTTAGTGCCATTTGTAGTTTTGTTACTAGTTTTGACCAGTTTTTATTCTTTGCGATTGTCCAACTTTAAATTCTCATTCCGAACCGTCCGGTCGTTTCATCGATCCTGACCCATCAGTCGAGAAATCAGGCTCAGTCCGTAACTACTCGCATTTTGCACGCTATTTGACCGATTCTTCCACTTCTTTGCATCTCTCCACTATTGATACATGGGTTTACTACTCCTAAATATTCTATTACATAATAAAGAAGGAATTAACGTTATATATTAATTTTGGTCATTACAATTGCCCCCTTTCGAGAAGTTGATGCACATGTCAAGCCGTTAAGCAGTAACTTGATGAAATCTTGAAATAACTTATACTTCACATCTTTGATCATTGAGCCTATCAACTCGTCATCCATCTGACGAAACATGTTTCTCGGACTGTCATTATATTCGTCTGACGAGACACACCTATCAACTCATCATCTGTCATGACGGAATGCCTTTGTCGCCTTCTTTACAAGTTGTTTCTGATTCAATTCGTCTCCGTGACTAAGACAATATTGTTGTGCTAATGACCTGACGTAGTCAATTATAACTTCGTCCATGTTCATATTGACGATTTGGTGACTTCGTCCCTCATCAAGCCGGTGATAAGTCTGGCTCCATGGATGTGCCTGATTTCCTACAAAAACATTAAACAATATTTTGTTTTGTATTATCAACCTATTCATGAATGTTTTAAGGTTGGTTTTGATGTCATTCGTGTCAATGTCATTAGTGTCGTCTCCTTCTGTTTTGGAGTTTTCTCGTTGTTTGTGTTATGCTTTTGATGCATTCCTTTATGTAGTATTTCTATTGTATAGTTTTGACCAAAATGTTTGTAGAGAATCAATGATATTTGCACTCATATTTATAAGAGGTGAAAACCCACTTCTTCCCTTGTAAGACTCGTCATTTATGTTTTGGCGTTTTCGTAAGGCCTACTTAAGCCCAGCCATTTATGCTTTGACAAGTCTAGGCTTTGTTTGACGTGTGTCAGAACATCGTCCTCGTCGGTATTGACTAATCCCGTGTAAAAAATGGCAAGGATGACCATTGGCTAGAACTAAAGGTCCAGTGTTTTTGGTATGTGGTTCGATCCTCTGATTCACCAAACATCTTCGTGTCCCCAGTTATTGCATGGAGGAGTTCTACGACTATGAGGAGGAGGACACTCAAGAGAAGCCAAATGTGCTGCTAAAGCTCATTGAGGATTTTAACGCTGAAGTGGGAATATTAGCGAGTATCGTACTGAGGACGATCTCAAAGGATCTGAGGCTGAAGTGGCCACAATTCGCTCTCGATGGGTGGGTGAGGCTTCTACAACGGCCACCATTCCTTGATCGAGACCGATATCTATCGTTCTTGGGGTTGAGCCAGATGGAAACAAGAAGAAGAGGGGTAGGTCACGTCGGCGAGGGGGTTGGGACCAGTTATGTCGCGCTTGGATTGCTAAAACCTCCTCATTATTCAGCAAGAGAACATGTCGAGTGACTTGCACGTGGCTTAGATGTACACGGGCCCGTATGACAGGGTGAGGGAGACGAAGGCGACGGATAACATGTTTTCGCTACCTCTGGGGTACTTTGGAGTGTACCCCATCAGTTTTGCTAAGGGTTTGGGTTTCCCTTGCATCCCTTCATGATTGAGTATTTATGGGAGGTTGATTTGTTGTCCCGTCAGTTGACGCCGAACATGTACACTTTGATGGTGGGATGTTCGGGACACTGACCCAAGGCTTTAGCAGGACGAGTTGGGCCTTCGTTCGCCAAGCCCCCAATGCGCTCTAACACTAGTCGACACGGTATATCCCCTGGCCTTTTAAGGCTGAGCTGTGGCCACGTTCGCGGTTGGGCGTAACGCGACGAGGCGAGGCGAAGGTGTGGGGCGTGGTGTCTTGCGAGAAAACGCCTTCCTCATTGTCGCCCTCTAGGAAGTTATCGGTTGGCACGAGTGGGGGAAGAGGAGGTGTCATATTTTCCCTTATCTTAGGCAGGATGGCGCTTAGAGCTGTGGGGTGTTGTGTGAGGCTCGCGGTGGGGATAGAGACAGCAACATGTATGTCCAAACGGGGATTGGTTTGTGGCGCTTGACTGGGCTCACTCCTTTTTTTGTGCCCCCCTTCGAGGCCGATGCAAGCATTCAAAACAGTGATGTTGATCCTGGTTGCGAAAGGTCAGTCGTGGGGTCAACCATGTTCTGGGCTTTAGCCGCCTACTTGGTCGTGGCATCCCCTGACCTCTCCTGCTGGGTACAAGCCTACGAGGGATCTGAAGAGCCTTAGCCATTGGGTTTAAGTTTGATGTAGTCTTTCCCATGTCTCATCTAATGGTGTCTAGCGGCAGCAAGGGTACTAACTTGATTGTCCAAGCTCTCAATGAGAACACCAAATGATAAAGTATAGTTCTAGGAAAAGTGCGAGCTAAAGTGAGAAAGTTTTTTGTAATAAATGTGTGTCAACCCCCTACAACTACCCCCATGGGGGATATTTATGGAGGAAAGTGGGTTTGGGTCTCAGGTCTTAGGCCTGGGAGGCCCGTTTACAATGACGAGCCGCTTTTGGGCTGTTTACAGGAAGTCAATATTCTGAGTACAACGTGATAGTTATTTGCTAAAGCCTCTAGCCGAGGTGGCCAGGCCGAGGTGGCCAGGCCGAGGTGGCCAGGATGAGGTGACCATTCACGAGTTGATCGTGATCCATGTCTGGATCACTTCTTTTTCGGAAAGTTTTTTATGTGGTGACCCACGCCTAACCGAGGGGGCCTAGTCGAGGATTACTTCAGTTGCCCATACTCTTGTCTGTATATTCATAAGTATGTGACATGTGGGTCCAGGCCCATATACTCTATCAAGCAGCTGATCGGATATGTCTCTCACATGATGTTTTGAACAAGGAAGAGATTATGAGGAGGTTGCCAGGTTTGTCGAGAAAATCATCAAAAGATCGAGTGAAAGATTGAGCATTTCGACTAAAGCGGTGAAGAACACACTGAGATCTTGTCTCCCTTCCTCAAAAACTGTGTTAATGACTTGACGCCAAAATAAGATATTGCAAATCGAAATTTCATCTATGTTGATTTTGGTCCTCCAATTGGGAATGGCAATTTCGACTCTTGTTTGTCAGACGATGAGGCTAGCTCCATGATTGTAACCTATACTCTAAAAAACTCTGAACACTATTTTGTTTACATTTTAGTTATATTGTCAACCTAGAGATGAATGTTTAAGTTAGTGTTGATATCATTTGTGTTGTCTCCTA